TTAAATAGTTGGTGGGATTCAATTTTGTTTTTAATATATAGTACTACTCCTCTTTTTTTCTCTTTGTCCGAAGAGATGAATTCATTCCCTAACCTCTTGTTAATCAGAATTTTCCTATGTTTTTTGGCCACATGTGTTTCTTGGAGACATATGATATCCAAATTCTTCTTTTTTAAGACACGTTCAATTCCATTCCGTTTTTTCTTATCGTTCATTCCATTAATATTCCAATTCCATAATTTTAATGTCATTTTTTCCCTTTTTTTTTCTTTACCACTAATTAAGTTTAAATTTTAACCTAGAGTCTTTCTGTTTCTTCTCCTTCTTCCTCTTCTTCCTCTTCCTCTGATTTTCTTCCGTTCTGTTCTTCTTCTTCTCCCTGCTCTAGTTCCTCCCTCAATCTTATTCCGCCTTCTGCTCCTTTAGGCTCCTCCTCTCCTTGTTGAAGCTCTTTGTATCTTCTTGTAAACTTTCCTATTTCCTCGGGGTTTGTCAGTCTTCTTTTAACTCCTTTATAAAAGAAAGAGACACCCTCCGGGAATTCCCAACGAAAATCAATTCTGTTTTTTTTAAGAAGTTGCACCAGTGATTTGTAAGGTTCTCTTCGTTTCAGCAGCCTTATTGGAATATCTTTAAATATAATTATATAGTTTCCATCGATGTACAATCTCTTCTCTCTATTTCTTTGCAGAATCAGATTTCTCATCTCTCTATCTTTGAATGTAACTAAGCAATCGCCTGGAAATTTCTTTACCTTGCTTGATTTAATTTTCATTCTGTATGCATTTTGTATTGTCTTCGCCACCTCTTCCTCCGCTAACCCCAACCACTGCGCTATTTCCTTTATTAATCTTTCTTTTATATTTTCATTTAGTTCCGGAATCTGTCTCAGTCTTAAGTTCACTTCTCTCTGTTTAAGTTCATTCATTGCAATAGAGTCTTTTATTTCTTCCTGCATTTTATTTAAGTCTTCTATCTCATTTTTCATTTTTTCTTCTTCCCGTTTCAATTCTTTCATTTCCTGTTTGGTCTTTTTTAATCCCTCATCCACTCTTTTTGATACCTCCTTAATCTGTCCTTTGAGTTCACTTACTGTCTCCTCAATCTTTTTATCCATTTTCCCAATTTTGTTGTCCACCTGTTCTAATTTTGTCTCTAAGTTTTTCTCACTTTGTTTTATTTCTGCGAACATCCTCAATATTTCTGTTCTAAATTCAGTTTCTTGTTTTGAGGCTCTCCTGTCTGTTGGGGCTCCCCCCTCTAACCCTTTTTTTTGGTTGTGCGACATTATCTCTAATCTCCGAGTATCACTGATTATTTCCTGTCTTTCCCGTCTTTCTATATATAAATACTCTTACACTTGCTTTTAGGGAATATTAAACTAACCACCACTGTTAATATATACAGCCTTAAATAGGATTACGGCAAATGACGAAAGAGATAACAGCCTATAACAAAAAAGAAAATGGAAAAGTACTACAATTTCCGACTTCTATCACTGTTCATCTCCACTTAGTATACTTAAATATTGTCCCTTTCCCCCAAAGTTCGAAGGTAGTTAGTTGTCCGTTGTTTCTGGAAGTATTCTATTTGTGATCTTCTTGCCCCTATTCGGGCTAATCCAACCAGTATCTTGGTGTCTACAGTCCTGATTTGTAGATTTATAAGTCCATATAGTCCATGTAAGGATGACGAAAATTTTGGGAGAGCACCACTTAAAATTTCAAAAGTGCTCCAAATTTAGATGCTAATTTAAATATGCTTGACTATTCTCAAGTTAATTGTTCCTTACCGACATGCGTTCCTATTAGACAGGTCAAGGAGTTTAGTCCAACAAAATAGATGAGGCCTCTCCAAAACAGTTATCTCTGAGAACAAGAGAGCCTCAACTGTTATGGGGGTTAGTTCCCTTAGTTATGAGGTAATATTATGCTTGCGCCTCAAGAGGGAGTCAGCCTCTTTCCAGCTTCAGAGAGGGTTTCTTAATTAGCTTTTCAACTGTCCTCCTTATGTTCTTCCAACTTTCTGAATCTCAAAAAACAGACAGACAAAAAGAAAAAAATAGCAATAGCAAAAAAAAAAAATAGCAATAGAGGAGAGGGATAATGAACAGAAAGGTAACCCCTCCGGCGTTAACCCAGAGTATTTTAGAGTGTCTTATATTCCCTACTTATACGTCTTTTAAAGTCACTTAATATGGCGTTTGAAGCTCCTTTCCTCTCCTCCCCCGATTAATATGGCGTCGGAGAGTCTTCTCAATGCCTTGACTTTTCCACAAAAATCTTAACAGCAGTTCACTCTATATTCCAGTGCCACAATTACTCTAATGACTGAGTTTTCTCTTCTATCACGGCTCTTCTCTGCCCCCTCTTAGTTTTTCCCTTTTCTCCTTTTGGAGAGGGTTTCTTTTTAACTTTTTAACTTTGAGCTCATGAGGGAGACGGAAACAGTAGCCGCTAGCGGTAACTTACTTTCTCTTTAGGCTCTGCCTGCAGCGCTGCGTCTGTTTCAATGAAGTCAAACCAGCGCTGAACTCGAACTTTTTCCTTTCTTCTCAGAGACTTCCTTGTTGTTTCCACTCACTGTTGTTATAAAGTCTAAATTATGACTCCGAGTTTCTTTGTTTCGAGAGCGGGGCGCTAATCCTTGCAGGCTCAGGGCTTCGCTAAATCGCCGCTGTAATGGCTACCCGATTGCCTACCGCTCGTTCCGTCGCTCTCTTCACCTTTTTCCAAAGGCTACCTGACGACCGGACGAATGGCTACCAGGCACTGCCGGGCACCTGGACCTCTAGACACCCTCCAGAGGCTTGACGGAAGGTTTTTTTCGCCCTAAAAACCTCCAAATACGGCTGAAAAAGCTAGGGCTTTCTCCGCAGAAAAAACCCTTGCCTGCAGTAGGTTCCGCGCTCCACCGGAAGTCGAAGCACTCGGTTTTTTAATTCCCCTCCTGCACTCTCAGCTGATTAGAGAAAGCTGTGCCTCCTTTTCACGAAGGAAAAGGAGTTCACATGCTTTCTTGTTACTGCTAGTTTGCACACATGTTCAAAACACTTCATATTTCTTAAGAAGTGTGGAACCTGTTTTCTAGCAAGGTGCACCATGCATGTTCTTTACCTAAACAGATTAGAAAATGTATGGGGAACTTTTGATCCACTAGATCAGAAGTTTTCAACCTTTTCTAGTCCACGGCTCCCATGACCAACTACCTTCTTTCTGCGGCACCACTGTGGGGCTCAGGAGCCCAGTTATGTCACCCCTTGCCTGCTGAGCTGGCAGCCTCTTACCCTGTTTCAAATACCCTCCCTTGTGGAGTGTTCCCTCAGCCTCCTCTCCTCTCTTATTGGGAGTCCTCTGGCCAGCCACTGCTGCCGCTCCTGGTCTCTGAGCTCCCCCCCCCAAAGAGATGGTCTTCCTCACACTGCCCAACAGGGGGCCTGGGAAGAGGATCCCCCCAGCCTTAGTGGCCCAACGGAGACTGGCAGAGATGAACGTGAGGCCAGCAACTTACCTTGGGAGGCAGCAGTGGCAGCAGCGGGCACCACCAGGCCTGCATGGGGAAAGGCTCCCCTTTGGTCTGGTGGACTGGCTGGCTGGCTTGCTTACTCCAAGGCCGCCTCAGCTCCTGACAACCAGCATCCCACTGCCTCAGGGGCACCATTTGCCTGAGGAGCTTGTAGCCAGGGATGCTTCAATGAACAGCTGTGCAAGCCTTTGGGAAGCAGAGACACAAGAGGGCATCAGAGGAGGAAGGGAAGGAAGGAAAGAGGGATGGATGCCAGTGTTGCCCATGGCACCCCTGACCATCATTCAAGGCACCCCAAGGTGCCACAGCTCACTGGTTGAAAACCACTGCACTAGATTATGATGAATGATATGTTTATTTATGCTTCACCTTTCCTCTGACGGGACAGAGGAAAACAAGTATAGCTAAAAACATAGACTATAAATTCATTACAAAACAATTAAACATTAATACAATTAAAACTATCTACAATACATTTAAAATATGCAAGTAATTACAATCAGTGCTTTTTTTTCCTAGAAAAATAGGTGCTGGTTACTCACCATAAAGTTGTTATAGTAAGTGCCACACTTTTTAACAACAAAAAAGAGGTGTCGGTACTGCATACCATTGAGTACCTCCTGGGAAAAAGGACTGAATTCACCTAATGTTTTGCCGTGGCCCTTCCATCCAGCCACTTCATGATGTTACTGTGTCCTGACGTCCACACGTACCTTCTCCATGGGGGCAACAAGTCAGATGGTTTGTTTGCCCTGTGGGAACAGTACTCCCACAAGCAGGACAAAAGAAAGTGGCAGGCCTTCCCACCCCAACTTGGAAGGACAGGCATGTGCTTCACTCTCAGGCTAGGTGAGGTGAGAGTTCATGTTTTTTCCCCACTTAGCAGATTGGTTATCCATCTCCATATATGGCGGAAGCCCTCAAAAACACCTATGGTGAGCTCATTGCATCTGACAGGTGATTGCAAAAGAATGACGTGCAAGCGAATGTGGAGCAAACCAACACACTTTCTTTGCAGCATTTCTATGAAAAGCAGAGCCACTGTATTGGTGCAGTGGTGTGTGTGTGTGTGTGTGTGTGTGTGTGTGTGTGTGTGTAACGCAAAGTCAAGTGTCAGCATTGGGCCACTGTTCCAAGAGTAGACACAGCACCAGCCTTTAGAACTAATGCTCAGCTTGCTCTGCAACAGGCTTCCTAGGCGGGTTATTAGGTCGTTACTTTTCATTTATGGACATAGCACCGGGGAGGTATCTCTGACGCATGAAGCTGAGAGGAATGCATCTGTATAGCTTTCAGTCTTAATCAGTGTGTGTGTTTATGGTTCCTGCAGTCAAATGCTGTTTTGACAGGCCACAGCCTACGTGGCTGTAACTACTGTCAAGCAGTTGTTTCTTTCTGGTCTCCCTGCTGCGCAACATGGGAAGCGGCCAAGTTATCTCAGTTATGAGTTTCAGATGTTTACAAAGCAGCACATAATTGCCCCACTTGTTCCTACAAATTGGTCTGCAGCCAAACCTCTTTAGAAATATCTAAAAAGGCCGGGACCTTTGGAGTTCTACTATTTACTACAAATCATTAAGGCAGGGGGAGAAGATGTCATCATTGCAAGTGTGCACGGAATGAGACTTCTTGGATATATATAAATACAGGGATTCCATCACTGGGGAGCATTGGGAGACTGGACACAACCAAAAGCATCAGCACCAAATCACACTATCTGCATGATGAAGGCTGCAGCTGTGCTGTTCCTCCTCCTAGGACTCTATTGCTGCTTCTTTGCCTCAGGTGAGTATATATTTTTTTTACTTCATGCTCAATGAGGATGTTGACCCAGTGTGCAGCAGCTATGAAAAGGGCGGTTGCTATATTATTTTCTTTATAATTATTAAGATTTCTTACCCGCTTTTTGCCATAAGATCCCAGGGTAGGTTATAACAGTCTTTAAAAATACATTCTTAAAATCAGTTAAAACAATTTAAAATCAGAAGAGTAGAGTGGGTTACATATATATTTTCGCATGGGGAGACACTGCCTGTCAGTGCAGACAATACTAAACTAGATAGATCAGTGGTCTCTTTCAGTTTAAGGTAGCTTTCTATGTCCTGAAGGACAACACAACTCACACTCACCTTGACTGTGATACACCCAGCTCTCTGAATGTCACCTGTCTTGAAAAGAATGATTCATGTCATTAATGGATATATTTTAAAATGCAGATTAATGGCAGATTAAATTGATGGATTATACCAAAATGGCAAAAATAACCAGAAGAATCAGAAATCAGGAAAACCAAAATTTAAAAAAAGAATGAAGTAAATTTATAATTTATCTTAAAAACCATTGTAAACAGTTAAAACTGTTAGCAGGATTGGAATAACACTTGTAGTTTAATGGTGAATTTTGGATATAATGGAGATGTAAAGGATCTGGATTATTATAAAAGATGCAGGAGGAATTTATATTAACAATAGGACCCACAAAGGGGAGGAGGGAAGTTCAGGAAATTCTATGGAATCTTGTCTTTATGTTGTATGTTGGATATGTGATTGTAAAACTGTAATTTGAAAAACCAAATAAATAAATTAAAAAGAAAATGCAGCCCGAAAGGTAACATTTATTTTTAGGTCTCAGGGCCAAAGGAGATAGCCTAGGGCTTCCTTTTTGCACAATAGGCCCATTGGGATGCGGGTGGCGCTGTGGTCTAAATCACAGAGCCTTGGGCTTGCCGACTGGAAGGTTGGTGGTTTGAATCCCGAGGGGTGAGCTCCCGTTCTCTGTCCCAGCTCCTACCAACTTAACAGTTCGAAAGCACCTCAAAGTGCAAGTAGATAAATAGGTACCTCTCTGGCGGGAAGGTAAACGGCGTTTCCGTGCGCTGCTCTGGTTCGCCAGAAGCGGGTAGTCATGCTGGCCACATGACCCGGAAGCTGTACGCTGGCTCCCTCGGCCAATAAAGCGAGATGAGCACCGCAACCCCAGAGTCGTTCACGACTGGACCTAATGGTCAGGGGTCCTTTACCTTTAATGCACATAAGCAATGTGAGCGTGCTAAACTTTTCTCATTACAAGAGATGTGCATTTGCTTCTTATACCAGTAGCCCCTTGAAAGGCCCGTGAGGGATGTCAGTATTCTCATCTCCATTTTGCAGATAAGGAACTGAGTATGACTGGTAGTGGCTACCCTGAGACCACCCAGTGAAGACATAACAAAAGTAAAATTTGAAACCTGAAATCCGCAGGTCATCATCCTAGCATCAACAAACCAAATGAACATAAGAGTGGTGACCAGTGGCAAAGGGCTGCCTGGACCACTGTGCAGTTGCCACCTGGGAGGGATCCTAGTTGTTTTAATTGGTGCAGCTAGGTGGCTATGGCCAAGAGAGTGTGATCACAGGAGTCTTTACAGAGCAGCAGAGGTATCAGCAAAGTTACACCATCTCCCTACACTGGCCTTCAAAGACCTCTACATAGGCACCTCCACACACAGTGGCCTTTTTGTGCTCTCCAGCCCTCCCAGGCTTGCCACTGGCCAGGGTGACGTAAGGACCACACACACAAACAATCACGTAAGGCTGGTGTTGTGCAAATTCTGTGAACACTGACTTTTAGCACAGTGCTCTGAGTGGTTTGCCAAAGGTGTGCCAAAGGTGAATGCGTGGGTAGTTCCGCCCATTCATATTATTACCATAAGAACCAGCATTTCATGTATCTTGACGAATTTGTATGTGTATTCCCAAGGGCAATGAGGATCAGGTTGTTTTATTTTTACTTTCTCGCACTGTAAAAGAAAATATAAAATTGAGAAGCTTTTACACAATAAGCTTTAATTCAGTTTTTTAAAAATGGTTTTCATCTCTGTTGTTTCTTTGCTTTCTCTTGCAGATGCTCATCATTCCTATGAGCCACGGGTGAGTCCATCTGTTGATTGCTTCTTGTGGATATCTAGATAGCAATAACATTTTTGAGCAAGATCCCTTGTGTGGAAACTAAATAAAAAGCCCGTCATTACACCACCATGAGAAATGGAGATCCTGAAACAAATCTTACCATATTCTCTTAGTACAAGTCTCATAATGCATGTTCCAGACATGTGATGATCCCTTGCCTGAATTCACATCCATTGGACCTCAGTGAACAGACAGGAGGAGTGGGGGCAGCTTTAAGTATTCTGGCCTCAAGTCCTGCACCTCAAGTCACATTTCTTTGTGAATCCACAAAATATGCTTGTATGATTACGTATCCATCCAGACACTGGTCACAGGAGACATACTGTCTCTCAAAACATAATGAAATTCTTTCTGCTGAGAGCATAGTTCTGGGAGTCTGAAAAGTCAAAGTTCTGTTCATTAGGAAATAAATGATATCAAAGATGAAACTTCCAATACCATAATGCTGTACTCCTTAGAGTACTCCTCAGAATAGATCCATTGAAATGAATAAACATGACTAGCTTAGGTCCATTTATTTTAATGGCTCTACTGTACTTTGAGTTGAACTTCATTGGAGGCAACACATGACTATAACTTGGAATTCTGTGTTTACATGCTTGGCAAAAAAATTAAATAAATAAATAAAAAGGGGGCAGGCATCCTGGGGGTATGGTGGGGGGACTTTGACAACCACCAATGCACCCAATGTGTTTTGATTATATATGATTTTGGCTTTATGTGCTATCCATGGAACATGTTGCTGGTCTACTGTATAGTTCTGCCACTTCCACTCCTTAAACTGAATACTGAAATAGGTGCAGAAGAGGGCAGCCAAAATGATCAAGGGTCTGATTTGACAAAACAGGACATTCTGGGGTTATGTGCTGTCTTTGCTCACAAACCTACTTGAACTGATTCCATTTTCTGTAACCAGGAAAAGCACATATGCTTTGGAGTTTGCATAATTTCCCCAAGGCTAAAAAGGCGAAGAGAGCAATTCAGCAGTGCGCCAAAGTGGTCATGGTTTTAAGAAGAGAAACTTTCCCTTTTCCAGGTTGACTGCAGTGCTTATATGAAGCTTTCCGACAGGACCAAACCTAAAGGATGCACCCTGGAGTACTTCCCAGTATGTGGTTCCAATGGCCAACATACACCAACAAATGTCTCTTTTGCAGAGCAGCCATGTAAGTAAGAAAATATCACTCCTGAATAAGTGAAGCAGAGATAAGCTACTTTTGTGAAGGGGGCACATGACTCCTATACAGTGGTGCCTCGCAAGACGAAATTAATTCGTTCCGCAAGTCTCTTCGTCTTGCGGTTTTTTCGTCTTGCGATGCACGGTTTCCCATAGGAATGCATTGAAAATCAATTAATGCGTTCCTAGGGAAACCGCCTTCAGACCAGGTCCGGGGACAGACTGTCCCCGGACCTCTTCTGAAGGCTGGGGGGGGGGACAAGGGCTTTTCTTCCCACCCCCAGCATTTTAAAAAACCCTGGGACAGCGGAGGACTTCTCCGCTGTCCGGGCGATCTTAAAATGCTGGCGGGCGGCATTTTAAAATCGCCCCGGGACAGCGGAGGACTTCTCCGCTGTCCAGGGCGATTTAAAAGCCCCTGGGAAGGCAGGCAGGGGGGACAAAGACTTTCGCCCCCCGCCCGCCTTCAGAAGGTGTTCCCGCCCCCCCCCGCCCGGCTTCGCAGCAGCGCTACGAAGCCCGGCGGCTGGGGCAGGTGTTCCTGCCCCCCACCCGGCTTCGCAGCAGCGCTACGAAGCCCGGCGGCTGGGGCAGGTGTTCCCGCCCCCCCCACCCCGCTTCGGAGCAGCGTTCCGAAGCGGGGTGGCTGGGGCAGGTGTTCCCGCCCCCTGCCCGGCTTCGCAGCAGCGCTATGAAGCCCGTGGCTGGGGCAAGTGTTCCTGCCCCCCCCACCCCGCTTCGGAGCAGCGTTCCGAAGCGGGGTGGCTGGGGCAGGTGTTCCCGCCCCCTGCCCGGCTTCGCAGCAGCGCTACGAAGCCCGGTGGCTGGGGCAAGTGTTCCCGCCCCCCCACCCCGCTTCGGAGCAGCGTTCCGAAGCGGGGTGGCTGGGGCAGGTGTTCCCGCCCCCCGCCCGGCTTCGCAGCAGCGCTACGAAGCCCGGTGGCTGGGGCAAGTGTTCCCGCCCCCACCCCACCCCGCTTCGGAGCACCGGGAAAAAGCGATCTCCCCGCAGCCCCTTGCTTCAAAAGAGGTCCGGGGGCAGACCTCTTTTGAAGCAAGGGGCGGTGGGGAGAAGCGATCTCCCCGCCGCCCCTTGCTTCAAAAGAGAAGACCCGCTGTCCCCGGGGCAAGCTTCGTTTTGCGAAGCAAGCCCATAGGGAAATTCGTCTTGCAAGGCAACTCGAAAACAAAAAAACCTTTCGTTTTGCGAGTTTTTCGTCTCGCGAGGCGTTCGTCTTGTGGGGTACCACTGTAATGTGATAGACTCATTCAGACATCAATGCTAGTGTTGTTGTATTTACAGCTGTACATAATAGTGCTCTCTCATGCCCATATAAGTAAATGCACAGAGTACAATGACACATTTCAAGGCAGTCATCCTCTGAGCCAATGCCAGCAAGCCTTTCCTCATATCCTCAAGGTTAGTGGGTGGTGTCAACACAAGGGATGAGAAATGATTTCAATTTTGCTTGCATTTTAATGAGAAATCACCTAATTTCTACTTCTTAAACCAATATGTGAACTGAAACACAACAATCCTTTGAAATTCATGCTTCTCTGAATTTTGCAACATCATTAGAAACATAGGCAGCTGCCAGATGCAGAATCAGTCCATTGGTCCACCTAGCTCAGTATAGTCTACACACCAACTAGCATCAGCTGTCCAGGATTTCAGGCAAAGGTCTCTCCCAGGCCAGCCCAACCTAGAAATGCCAGGGATTGGAACTAAAATCTTCTGTATGCAAAACAGGTTCTCTACCACTAAGCTGCACCACTTCTCCTAGCAGGCAATGCATATATTTGGGTGAAGTGTGCATTAAAATGTATACATTTGTGAAAGTAACATACAGAAATGCATTCTGTTCAGGGAAATTGCTTGTAAAAAAAGAATGCACGTTATTCAAAACTGCATGCAAAATGTGCACATTAGTGGAGATTCACACTAATATGCTGGCAAATTATCATGAGTTATGTGAGAAAATTCTAAAACCACTGCAGAAATGTGGAAAACTAAAATTAAGATGGGGAAAATGAGAAACCGAGAGAAACCAAAATGGACATGTTTGACCATGCCTAAACCCACAGAAATTTCATTTCTGGAACATGGGGGATCAGCAAAGGCACTGAATCAAGATTTTTCTCTAAGGCTATGCACTTAGGGCACTAGAGCTAGTGCAGCTGAACTCCAAATCAAGGTTCCTGGTTTGAAGGTTGTCTCTACTGTGAACTCACTAGGTGGCAATAAGCAAGCAGCTCTCTTTCCAGCATTCGGCCTAATAATACTGACCTATCTGGGTCACATCAGGGGTGATGTGAGCTGTAGTCCAGCAACATCTGGAGGGCCACAGGCTTCACATCTGTGTCCGATCAGATTGTTGTATGGATTGCAACCAAGTGCATATGTCAGACACTTGAAAACACTGTGCAAATGTTAAGTATTATTATTAGCTTTGTTTTATTTTCTTGTTTTCACCCTAGAGCAAGTCAAGGGAAGATCCATTTTAAGCATTATGGGAAATGCTGAGTCATTGCCGCACACGGTCTATGGAGGCGTGTTCCGTTCATCTCTGGCAGCTCTGCCTTGCTCTTTTCAACTCATCCTGCCGCATCCTAATCCACTCAAGCTTTTGTTCTTTTCAAGTTTCTCCTGATCTGTTGATTTAAAATAAAGACCTCCCAGTCTTATGTGGAATGATTAATTTTTAAGAAACATTTGCAGTAGCACACTAAACCAGGACCTATGCTCAGTGTTAAGTGCTTTCACTGCTACTTGACACGCCCAGAATCTCCAGGGTCATATGGAGAGGTTCTACACCAGCAGCAGAGGCCTCCAGGAAATCTAGCACAGGCATGGATACTCTTCTCATAAACTGGGGGAGATCTATGTGACAAGCTATGCTGAAGGTTGCATCTGTGGTGTAATGATCTCTGGCAGGCAACCAAACCCCAATAAGAAGTAATAACTGTCTGGCAGTTTTATGTACATTTATTTACAAAAAAGGACACATCCACAGCACGGCTTCTCGCCTGCTTGCATTTATAATAGTTGGTCAGTCTGAAGTTTTGCCCCTCCCATAGCAAGAAGGACGCCAAACTCCCGCCTTTCCCCTCTTGCCCTTCCATTACCGTCTGATCTTATCTAGACTCCTAGCACAAGGACTGAGAGGCTGGCCTCCTCACTGCTACTCGACCCAGACTCAGACCTCTGCTTATCTGCTGTGCTCTGGCTGCATTCAAACTCTTCTTCATCTCGAGAGCTAACAGAGTTTTCCCCAGGAAAGGGAGTCGAACTGCCCTTTCTCAACTGACAGCCAACTCTGATCTGCAGAGGCTGCCCCTCGTTCATTTAGTTCAATTTCTGAGTCTAAATCTCCTGCGCTCTGGGGGGGGGAGCGGACATTCCTGACATCTGGGAAGAATTCGTACATATACGTGCTTCTTGCCAAAGGGAAGGCTGACAGCTTATGCTCACAAAGTAGGAGCCATATAATATAGGATATGGGGCGTAGGAAGTGAGGGGCAGAGGGGGCGGTCAGCCCTGGGTGCCACTTTGGGGGGTGACAAGATGGCCCCTACCTCCCCCCAACTGTAGAGCAGCCCAGGGCGCATGCAGTCCATATGGGCGCTGCTCTCACGGCGTCCGTACGAGCTGCCACACGAGTGGCATCCCGTATAGACTGCACATGTGCAGCATCCCATATGGACTGCGCATGCGCACTCCGTATGAGATGCTGCACATGTGCACTCCATATGAGATGCTGCACATGTGCACTCCATGGTTCCTCCGCCACTGTATATGATTTATAGTCGTGTAAGAACAAATTCAGATCAAGCACCACTAATTAAACATGTGGCACTCCAGCGTCAATCCACAAAATCCACGGCCACTCGCCCCATTTTTTTACATTGGAATTGTTCTCTGTTGCCTGACAGGGCAATATTTAATTGAATAGGGTTAAAGGAAAAGATGGTTTCAGCTGAACATTAGGAGAAACAACTTAGCTCTAGTAGCAGCTAGTTCCCTACATGAGCAGTGTTGGTTTCTCCTTAAGCGAAGCAGAGCCTGAGACAGCCACCTCTGAGTTTCTTGCCTCAAGCAAGGGGCTGGAATAGAGGGCCTACAATATCCATTTCAAGTCTGTGCCTTACCTAGGCTATTACTGTGTCATTCGGATCAGTACACACACACACACACACACACACACACACACACCTAGTTCTAGTTTGTGCTGAATTTCCAAGAAATTACAAAATATGGATGTTTTTGTAGGGAGGGAAGAAATGTAATAAATATTAAAACTCACCCTTTTCCATCTCTGTCCAATGAAATCCAGTTTTGCAGAAGGGGGAGTTTCACACCAAGTTGGGCAACAGTTAGATCTGGGCTTTGCTGCATCGCCACAGAAGGAAATTGTATCATTGAGGGACAGCCGTGGAAAAACCCCCCTTCATGCTTCTAATTGCTCTTCAATATAATATTCAACATGGGTGGTAATTTTTTAAAAATGTGGGGGGGGGTGGTACTCTCAGAAATAGGACCTAGGGAAGGATATGGTCTGTGAGATTTGTGGGGTCCATGTATTTCCAGGCTTTACATATCATAACCACCACCTTGGGATTGAGCCTAAAATATAATAGGGAGGCAGTATAAATACTAGAACAGAGGTATAATGAACTTATAACTATTATTGTTAATTATTTATTTGTTGCTCACCACAGAAAAAAGTCTCTAAATTCTTTTTTTCAAGAACTTTCTAAAAAATTTAAAACATAAAGTCCAAGGTGCAGGAGGTTTAGCAATGCATTACAATAAAATTCATACAAAAATCCAAGGGCTCGGAAAAATTACAGCAAAATGTATCACTCATCAAAATCATCATAATCTGTCAAATGCTTACAAAACATTATCAAGGGCAACCCTGTGTAGAACACAGTAAAAGTCTCCAGCAATTGAATAATGGTGGCCAGACACAAATTTGACAGAAGGGATCAGTCTTCTTAGCCTTTAGCTGCAGGTGTAACTTGGGCTTACTGGTGCAGCTTCAGATTCAGAAGCACCTCAAAGTTTTGATGCTGCACAAACAGCAGAGGATGAATCATATTGTTGATGGCAGCCCCTGTCATCTCTGTAGCTCACAAGACCTGCCAGATTACTTGCCGTTCCCCAGAAGGTCTCAGGGCAGGTCACAGGAATGTTAAATACAACATTAAAACAATTTAAAACAAATTACAGTTGCAGCTAAAGTCGGTCCTAAAATCTCTCTCTCAAGTGTCAAAAGGTAAAGAGGTCATATTCAGTACACAATGAAAGCTGTATAATGAAGGTGCCAGACACACTGGGCATGGAGTCCCACAATTTACGGGTTTCATGAAGAATGCCCTTTCCTAGGTTGTCCTCCCCTCTGAACCTCTGAGGGTGATAGAACTACCACAAGGGCTTCCTCTGCTGATCTTAACAGCCAAGAGGGAAGGAGGTGGTCTTTCAGTTATTTGGGGCCTAAGTTGTTAAGGGCAATAAACACTAGAAGTGAGCACCTAAAATTGAGCCCAGAAACAAACTGATAACCACTGCAGCTGTTTTAAAACAGGAGTTGTGTGAGCTCTAAATGGAACCCAATCAGAAATCTAACCACTGCATTTTGGACCAGCAGAAGTTTCCAAGTTGTCTTCAAGTCATCTTGGTCTACACCATAACCAAATCCTACACTAAGCAAGGACTGAAACCAAAAGAAACCCAATTTATTCCATCGCCCATGTACTCAGCACAACTGGAGGGTTCCCATGTCAGCTTTTTCTAAGGCAGTTTTTATTAGAGATAAACCTGCTGATCCCTTGTAGCGGAGATTTCCACTGTAAATCCAGGAGCAAAATATCATGAACAAATATTGTGACACTGACATTACATCTGTTCATCCTTTGGTTTAGCCATTACTTCATTATTCTGCCATCAGTTTAGCAGGGAAAGTTGAGCAACTAGTGTTTGCAGGAAGGGCTTTAGGGTAGCCTTTGCTTAACTCTAACTTGAAATCACGGGACAAATTGCTAATTACAAAGCACAGCTAGCAACCTTGCAGAAAAAGATGTAAAGGTGAACAGGACAAAAGGCAAGTCTGTTCCTCATTCTTCAGGCATCAGTACTTCTGCTTGGGTAACCTGCTTCTAGTGTTCACTGAGGATGATTCTGAGAAGAGGGTGATTTTTTCCATCAGGGTGGAGCTTCTGCCCCCAAGCATGTTGTCAAAGGCCTTCCTCTTGTCAGAAGACTTTAAAGGAAAACGTTCCTTAAGGCTGGACGGGGCAGTCTGGACAGCTTCCCCAACCATGAAGATGGCAGCAAGCCTCTCTCTGGTTCTTGTGGTGGCTATTTCCTGCCACATTTCAGGTAAGCAGCTTTCATCAAACTTCTCCATTGCAAGGCACGACTGCCTCCTCTGAAGAGGTAGGAAAGAATGAATAGGCAGTCAAAGGCATAAAAAGGATTAAGAACATGGCTGTCCAGGAACTTAATGGTCCTGGAACAATTTGGGCCACAACCTGATTACTAGGCCTGTAGCCCTATTTAGGGAGGCTTTTAATGTTTTATTGTGTTTTTTAATACTTTGTCCAGAGTGGCTGGGGCAACCCAGTCAGATGGGCAGATGATGAAGATGATAAGCACCACGCTGGGCATAAAAGCCTTTCTAAGCATGGCCCTTCTAATGTATAGTTTAAGTGAAGGAGTGCTAGCAATCTATCTATGTTACCAAGTTTTCATTGTTGGAGAACAAGCCAAATATACAGTGGCACCTTGGTTTTCAAACGTAATCAGTTCCGGAAGACTGTTCAGCTTCCGAAACATTAGAAAACCAGGGTGCAAAGGGCAGTCTGCAAATGCAAAGGAGAAAATGGAAAGAAAGAAAAACTCAGTGGGAGCCGTTTGACTTCCAAGGCACATTTGAAAACGGAAGCATTTACTTCCGGGTTTGCGGCGTTCGTCAACGGAGTCATTCGAAAACTGAGATACCACTGTACTAAAATCAAAGAAACTAGTGAACTCTCCTCTTGCCAAACCATACACGCAGAGAGACACAAATAGATCTATAGATATACAGCTCTAAAGATCTGTTCTCTAAAACATGATACATGGTGATGAATCGGGCAGCAAAACTGCAAAAGATGCAATAAATTCCTCCCCCACCTCAATATCAATTAGCAAAACTTACTCCTAGTCCAGTTCATATAACAGAGTTGAAAGAGACTTCAGAAGGCAACTAGTCCACCCAACCCCACTGATGAAAGGAATGTGCAGCATCCCTGGTAGGTGGCCATCCTGTCTCTGCTTAAGAACCTCTGATGAAAGGGAGTCCAAGGCAGTCTGTTTCATGGTTAAATAGCTCAGGCCATCAAGACATTTGCCCTAAAATGTAGTCAAAATCTCCTCTCCTGTAATTTGGGTCCATTGGTTCAGAACCCAGCTTCCAGAGCATGCATGATACCAATTTGCTCCATTTGTTACAGAAAATTGACCTGATATTAAGGTGCCCCATTCGAGAGAGGTTTTCTCTCACCATACCTTGTATGTCTCCTTCTTATTCCAGGAGTCGCAGGACAGGGCAAACCACCGGTAAGTTCTTCTTTCCTATTTTCCCTTGGCTTTCCCCCCACCCCTTATGTCGCCCCATTGTTGCCTATCGTGTTTCATGTTTAGGAACGTGTGTGTGTGTGTGTCATGCATGATTCCCAAAACTCACAAGACGTGGGAACTCAGTAAAAACCTAGCGCTGTTCAGAAAATGTGTTTTAAAAGTTTCATCATGCCATACCAAAGTTTCTTTGGACACTTGAAAGTCTCATCCATTTATTATGTATTTTTAAAAATACTGAGAAATTGATCATGAGGATGCAGCATAAACATGAAACGACAGGTGCAATATTTTAACCCACTCATTCCTAGTCTAAAGAAGTAAGAGACCCTAAACTTCAACAGAAATGAAGTAGTGGAGTTATGAAACTCCTGGAAAATAGAGAGATTCCAAAGGTTTTGAATTGTGTTCCTGAAGAAGTTCTTACAGCTCTTAATGATATTATATATTGTATAAAGGTGTAATGTTGGGCATAGTAGGGTAAGGTGCAAGAGAGTGTGTGTGTGTGTGTGTGTGTGTGTGTGTGTGAGAGAGAGAGAGAGAGAGAGAGAGAGAGAGAGAGAGAGAGAGAGAGAAAGAGAAATTGGGGGTTCTGTCAACACCAAAGGTTAGCATCAGGAGTTTCAATGCTCAAGCCTCCTCTTAAAACTCATCAGCTGTGCCGAAAACTGAGTTACTCTTAGGTTTTAGGATGGAAAGAGGAAAACTCCTTTAGGATTTTAGGAGGAAAACTCAGCAACAGAAATTCCTTACCTCTCGGCCTCTCAGTCTCGTGGGCACTGCTTCTAATAATAATGATGACTATAAAGATGATTGACTGAATGGACTTCCCACATAACCATGAAGACAACCATGCAGCGTAGGCACATCTGGTAGAAAAGTTACATATTTTCATGTCAGAAGACCTTTCCTCGTTCTCTTTTTCATGTCAGCATTGGCCTGCTTCTTTTCATACACACTAATGAGACTAAAATATTATAAAGGGTATAGTTTTTAAGATGCTTGGTGTAAATTCCTGCATTTAGAGCAAACAATCTGTGTTGTACTAATTCTAATGTCTCATAAATTATCTTGTTTGAAACTAGTGTCTGTCTGGAGGAAACAGAAAATTTAAAAATTACCAGTTTGTGAGCTTTCCCAGTGCTTGCCTTCTTGCAGTTTCTGGAGACAGGGAGTCTGTTGCTGCATTCTGTGTCACACGCTAAGGCTACAGACAGGGGCCTGTCATCTTTCAAAGTGGGGGCATCTCTGACAGATTTCCTCAGTAATTTTAATCTTTATGGCATTTCACATTTTCTGAGCTGAATATTTACACTGTGGTAAAGAGGATACAGTAGTAAGTGATAAATAGATATCTGGCTCCCTTTCTTCTGCTTTTTGATTGAGCAAATAAATTGCATCTCACATAAGAAGGGCTTGTCTCAAAAATGCAAGTGCTTGTTTTAAAAATGTAATAGGGGGAAATGATAAAATAAAGAGTATTTTTACATAAATAATATAGTGAAAAGCATGTGATAGAGATCGACCATTTTGCATCTCTTGATGTTCAAATAGGCACAACATCACATTATTGAGCATATTCTTAGGAAAGTAAAATTATTTTTTAGGGGAGAAAGTTAGAAATGATCAAGGAGAAGGCTATATCAATCATGTGCTGTGTAAATTGGGAGAGCACAGAAGCATGGCATGAAATGCACACCTGATTTTTCCTACATAAAATAAGCAAAGTTTGAGCGTAAAGCACCAGCCGAGGAAGAACAAGCAACTACCAACACTGATTTGGAGCCTTGTTCTGTGACATCATTTCTCCCACAGGACTGTGCTGAGATTCTGAGAGAAGCTGTGGCCAATCCCTACACCTGCAGCGCAGAGACTGGTCCCATCTGTGGCACAGATGGCTGGCTATACCGCAACAAATGTGACTTGTGCACAGAAGCATCGTGAGTGGACTCAGCAAGAGATGTTTGAGATGGCAGTCTAATGATTAGGAGCTGGGAATGTAAACCCTTGGAAGTTTGGAAAGCTTGGGAGAGAAATGGCTCCTAAAGCAGGAATGAACAACATCTGCCCATGTTGTTAAATTGTTTCTGTGGGATCTCTCCTGGATGGGTTCATATGACCACCCACAAGAAGTAATTAGTCAGCATAGACTTATTGAGGGATGTGAGTTGATGTTATACAAGGAGCAATGTACCATATTTTTTCATCTAAAATACGCCCCCATTTATAAGATGCCCCCTATTTTGGGGGACTGTAATTTAAGAAAAAATTGTGTATTTTACTATCCGTGTATAAGACGCCCCCAAATTTTTGACATTTTTAAAAGGGAAAAAACCTAGTCTTATACACAGAAAAATACGGTATATCATGCATGTTCCCTATCCAGAAGAAGAAATGTTGCTGAAAGTCATCAAGACACCTGCTGTAAATCCACCAGCATTAAGGGAAAATGCATATCACCACAGAAGAGCAGCTGCTTTTATTTATTTAGATATGGTCATCACAGCAAAGGCACCATCTGACTTGTTCACCGAGAGTGGTAGTATGCAGATTGAATGCCACCATTATAATTTGCAGCAATGGAAATGTAAGAAAGTCTCCCTTCCCAACATCTAGGGACAACATCTAGGTCAGGTGCAGCCAACTGGACTACAACTCTCATCATCCCTTGGTGGCTGGGGCTGATGGGAGTTGGAGTCCAACAACAGGGATGTGTCTGGCTCCATCGTTGGTGAGGATGCACCTCTTTACTCTGATCTTTGACAATGTTGGTATGTTTATGGGAATCACCTTTTCTGGTTTTGTTTAACCTATACTGTGCTGCTTTTGTCTGGGATTATTTTACTTGTTTTTATAAGTATGGAACTGCATGTGGAATGGTAGGGAGGTGTCCTTTGTCTCAGGTAGCAAAATGTCTTGGGGAAGTTCTGACCTCTGTTGTTAATTTGACAGTGACTTGATCACTGAAAGTAACCTTACTATCTACTTTCATGTAGGGCAAGAGGGTCTGGTATTGGCATAAGAGATCGGAAACAATGCAAGATAAAGGTACTTGCTTCTATGTTTAATTTATGCATGCAGGCATTTATTTAAGTAAAAATATGTCCTGCCCTTTTAAATTAAAACTTCACAATGTATCTATAAATATATGCAAAAATATTTCATTTTGTTCAATTGCACATTATGATGACTAGACCGGCTGAATCATAGGCTAGCTAAGGTGGTCTTAGAGGCGGTGAACTCCTTCAGAGTGGTTGAATCTGGATTTAGGACTGGGTTTGGCGCTGATATTGCCTTGGTCAGCCTGACGGATTATCTGTCTTGAGAAAGAGCGATGGGGAGTGCAACTCTATTGATTCCTCTTGATCTCTCAGTGAATTCCGAAACCATTGATCATAGTATTGTCTTGGAGCAGCATCATTGGTTGGAGGTACACCTCATATTGGTTCCACTCCTAGCTCCAAATGTGGTTTCGGAGGGTAGCAATGGGAAACTTTTGCTTGGCCCTGTGGAAGCTGACCTGCGGCGTTCTGCAAGGTTTGTCTCCTATGCTAACCTTTATACAAAGCCATTGGCAGCAGTGATGAGGGTATCTGGAGCAAGGTGTTCTGTCTCCAGTGTGCGGATAGCATCCAGTGTTCTCCCTCTGTTCCACCTGAAGGAGGAGAGGCAGTACTACTGTTGGCCTGCAGTAGTAGGCTGGATGTGAGCCAATGCATTGAGGTTGATGGTCAGACAGACACAGACTCTCTTAATGCACTGTGGCAACATTTTATTGTACATATATGTTCTCTGAAGATAGCCACTCAAATGGATGGGATGCTATGGAACAACTTACTGAGGACAGATTGATATTTGACTATTAATACACACACACAGAGAGAGAGAGAGAGAGAGACTATCTCATACTCTACATAAGCAGCCTTCTACCATTTCATGTTTTGGATTTCATGTCAGTTAATTTAAAAAAAATAAGAATAAGAGAATCCAGCCAAGACAGAGGTACAGTGGGTAATGGGTTTATGGGTCTGGGTTTTAGAGAGATATATCATAGAATAGGCATAGGCAAACTCAGCCCTCCAGATGTTTTGGGACTACAACTCCCATGATCCCTAGCTAACAGGACCAGTGGTCAGGGATGATGGGAACTGTAGTCCCAAAACATCTGGAGGGCCAAGTTTGCCTATGCCTGTCATAGAATCATAGAGTTGGAAGGGGCGCTGAGGATCATCTCGTCCAACCGCCTGCAGTGCAGGAATATGTAGCTGATTGAACCTGTAACCTTGGTGTTGTCAGCACCACGCTCTAACCATCTGAGCTCTCCAGCTAAGATGTCCTGTTCCAGGTCAGGCTGCATTACCCTTGAAGGAGTGGAGGTCTGTAGCTTAGTGGGGAGGTGCTTCTGGAACCAACTTTGTCACTTGACACCTAGCCATAGTGCTCCATTATCTGTTTTGGGCTATTGTAATGTATTTCATGTGGGACTGCTGTTGAAAATGGTCCAGGGCTTTCAACTGGTGCAATGGGTATGGCTGGCCAGACGCATATAACATTTATTTTGAAAGAACTGCACTATTGCCCATTTTCTTCTGGGCCCAATTCAAGGCGCTTATGATGATATATAAAGCCCTAAATGACTTGGCGCCCAGATATCTGAAAGGATAGCTTCTCCCATACCAACCTGCCTCAATATTAAATAAAAGGCTTTTAAAAAGAAAAGAAAATGTGATTTTAGTTCCCTGAAAGCATTTGTTGATGTTTTAATAATGGGTTTTGTGTGTGATCTGTTTTAGTCATCATTTAATTGCATTTCCCACGCTATGAACTTCTGATGGCAGGCAGGTTATAAAGACTTTAAATAAGTAAGCATCCTTACCTACGCCATTCCATCCTGCATTCAGTTACCACAAGGCCAGTCATTCAATGGGTGTGTTGAACACTCAATTACTATATTTTCAGGTTGACTGTTCCTGGTTCGTGCCACATTGGTTCCATAGGTCTTCCACCTGCCTCAAATTTCATTACCGATTCCATGATTCTAGGCCTGTCTGTGGCACAGATAATAAGACGTACAACAACAGGTGCTTGTTGTGTTCAGAAATATGGTGAGTGTTATTTGGCAGAGTGGGTGGGGAAGAGAATTGACACCAGTCCAATGGCCTGTCTCAATGCATGCAATCAAGTCAAAAGTCACCTAGATGATGAAGAACGTAAGAAGCTGCCTTATAGGAAGTCAGATCATTGGTCCATCTAGCTCAATACTGTCTATACCAGGCCTAGGGAACCTATGGCCCTCCAGATGTTGTTGTTCTCCCATCCCATGGTTGTAGTCCTCCAATATCTGGAGGGCCACAGATTCCCCACTCCTAGTGTAGACTGACTGGTAGCAGGTCTCTAAGGTTTCAGACAAAAGTTTCTGCAGAGACTTGAGTCTTTCTGTATGCAACCTGAGACCTTCTTCACGAAAAGCATGTGCTTTTTCCAAGCTGTGGCCCACATAATATAACAGCTCGTGAGTCCTATTGTATTATTATTAGCTGTCTGAATATTCCACTTTTAGCTCCATGCTGCCTCCTTTAACAACCTGTATTTTGGGGAGATGTTCTTTTTATGTACTCTCTGTCTCTTTCCCCCCAGGAAAACTAAAAACTTTAACCTTGGCATAAAGCACCATGGGAAATGTAAAAAATAGGTAAGCTCGTATGTTTTCTGTATTACAACTTTAGGGTCATCTGATGATCCCCCTTTTCCATAATACAAATTCTTATTCATCAATGTAGGGGGATTTCTTGTAGGAAATCCAAACATCTCAAGGTCATCACCTGGTTATGGTGTTGATGTTAGACTCCTTTAGGGTACCCTCACAGAGACAGAACCATTATGGTTGTCCACCCACCACATTCACAAAGACTGGATTCAGTCATTTCAAGAATGTTCTGAAGGACAGGGTATTTCCTCAGAATGAGGCATTCTGGGCAAAGGGTCCCTGGCCTAAGCCACCATCGATTTTCCTGTAAACTTTTAACTAAATTTCAGGATTATTTCTAGACACTGAGGGGAAGTGGCCACAGCGCAGGCAGTCTCCTAAGCCACATCACCAAGAACACCTTCCTCTGAGGAACGTCAATATTGCTTGGAGTGAAGCAGAGGGGGACACAGAGAGACGGCCAGCACTGCCACCAAATTAGCAGCAGCAGGGTTAGGTGTGTAGCCTCAACTTGCCCATTTCAGTGTTATTGAATGTTTCCCCTCAACACAAATTACTAAATCCGAACACCAAAGACTTGTCTTTCGTCACAGAAGCCTTGCACTTTTGGTGGATTCTAGATGTGTTTGTGCTGCATGGGAGGCGCTGGCCAGGGCTTAAAACACACCCAACCCTTTCAACAAGTTTATTGAATTCATGATGTTCCAAGGTTAGGTCTTTTCACTGAAAATAGATCCACAGGTCTAAGTCCTGTTGAGTCACAGCTCAAATTAACTTAGGGGTGGAGAACTCCAACTTCCATTGACCCCGGTCAGGAATGGAAGTCCCACAACCATCTGGTAGGCCCCAGGTTCCACACCACTGAATTAAAATGTAAGGGTGGCATTCAAGTTTTACTCAAGAGCACACCCACTGAAATTAATGAACGTGATTAAGTTGGGTCCCATAATTTCAGTACATCTCCTCATAGTTGACTACCACCCTACATGTTCACAAATGTGGTATATTGCATAATGAGTCAAAAGTATGGGGGTGGGGGAGTAAGGTTGTTGGTAGGCCAGGGACATCAGAGTTTCATTACTTGTCTTCATTACTGTCATCCACACTTCACTTGTCCTGCGGTCTAGGCATGGGTCCATTCGCCCCACCACTTTCCCCGGGAAAAGCCGCTCTTTACCTCTCAATTGGAGCAAACATCCATCTGCAGAAAACCTAACTGACATTTGTTCCAATTCAGCAGTAAGGAATAGGTTCCCCAGGGAAAGCAGTGGGACAAGTGGAAGTGTGGAGCAACCCATTATTATAATGTACAGTAATTTTTCTTCTTTCTTCCTTTCCTTTCCAAGGCAGGCAATGAGAACAACTGGCATGCAGCATGTATAGCCATAAATTTGGTGTTTCCAAGAAATCCCACTAGGCTTCTGCCTGTTCACAAAGACAGGCAGGCTAGACCTAATAATCTCTTCTTATCTAATGTATTCTACCTCTCAGAAATAAACTGACACAAACTGAGGCAAATTTTTAATCCTGGCTGGTTTTTCTTTTTTAATCCAACCAGTTAATCATGCATGTGTTAGGGACCTTTATGGGGAGGGGGTGACAAGCAAAGAAAATGGGTGCTGGGCCAGTGGGGGGGGAATCTCCAGTATCTGTATGTTATGAAAAGTACACAGTAGCTTCCATAACTAGTCACCCTCCTCCCCACCCAGCAGCTTCCAGTGGCGACATGGTGAAACTCTTAAGGCCTAGTTCTCTCAAAGCATCAGAGGAGTTCTGTGGAACCAAGAAAAGATTATCCTAACAGCAAGACTATTGACTGACAGGAGGGGAAAGCTGCTCCTCTCAAGTGGTCATGAGTCCCCATGGGGTAGGTGGGAAGGTGGGTGTCCCCCACACCCCACAGATAAGTAATAATCCCGATTTCCAGATTTTGTTTTTTAAATGTTTCATACATTTGTAGAAACTGAAATATGAGGCAAAAGTACAGGTGCAGTGATCCCCAAATTTCTGTGAGAATTCAGCCTGTTCCCCTCCCCTTTCATGCAGATGCCTATGCAATATTTAGGTGTCATCCTAAAAATGTTCCAAGTACACAACTTTACTTTCATCCATATAAATCAATGGATGGATGGCATTCAAGAGAGGGGAGGAAGCACTTTTTCTTGGGAACACTTGGGAACACACGGGCAGGAAGCAGCTCTGTCTCCCAGGAACTTGACAGTCCGACTTTGGCTAAAGTCAACCTATCGCTTGCCATTGTCACCTTTGGAGTATGCTTGGTTAGGTTTTGTTTTTTAAGTTTCAAACTATGGAAAGGAGTACCCTCCATCTCCCAGTTTTAGTTGATTAGATTAAAATTATGTTCAGTGGGGTTGTACATTAAGAACCTACTTTTTAAAAAGATATCCAATTCCCATTCTCATTGAGGCGCACTATTAAACTGTCTCATTTGCTTTTAGAAAATGTTTTAAGACATGCTTATTCCATAAGGTTTAGCCTTCCAGCAATTTAATTCTAATTTTTTATTGAATTATTTTTGATGGTTTGATAATATTTTGAACAAGCTATACTAGTTTTAATAGTTTTTAAATAGAAAACCATGTCAGCCTCACATATAAAAATTGCAAAATCTTGGTCTTAAACATTGTGCTTTACTAAGACTAGAATGCACATTATTGCTTTTTGCTACAGTTATCTACACAAGCCCACATGGATGCTGAATATTCTAGGAATCAGTGTATATTTCAGCTGCGCTTGTGCCCTCTAGTGCCTTAAAAAAAGAAAAAGCAAAAACCATTCACAAATTTTCATTTTTCTAGCTTCCCACCTTTGGAAAATTCAGTTTGTGCACATTTCACTGTTCAGTTATCTCTGAAATAAATTGTCAGGAATATAAGAGAATCTCCCTGAGCTCAAAGATAACAAGGTGATCTTTAAAGGGAGGATGGCACCAGAATCAGGAAGCTGCCTTTTATCAGGTCAGACTATGGGATGTATCCAACTGTTTTACTTGGAGTAGACAAACTTAAAATCCATGGACCTAAATTAGCCATGCCCATTAATTTCAGTGTGCCCACACCCCTATATGTTCATCTAAGCTAGAATGGAGGCCGACACCCACTGTGACTGGTAGAGTGGAAGGCATGGAGGTAAACAGTAGGCAGCCAGACCTAACGGCTCTGTGGATCCAGAACTAATCAGAAGACTAGGCAACGATTTCTGGTTTTGTCCCCATCCTTCTTCCTGCTAAGTTCCACAAAGGCAGCAGTACTGAGGCTGACATGTGCAACTTCTGCACTGGGTGTTAAGGAAGGAGGCAGGCAGTTAGAGGGTGGCTGAGGAAGAGACTTGAGTTTGGTGGGGCAGTGCTCCATTCATTCTATGGAACCACCTTCATTGTTGTCTACTCTGACAGCTGTCTTCCATGACTCAGGCTAAGGTCTTTCACATCACCTGCCTCCTGCTCGTTTTAGCTGGAAATGAATATTGTACCTAGGACCTTGTGAAGGCAAGCCATAGACTCCACACAAAACTACAGTGGGAAACTATTATGTCTACCACATTGCTACGGCCCTTGTTGCCACCATTCACAAGGAACTAATTTGTTAAGAGCGAATTTGGTGACAGCCAAATTTTGCACCAAGGGGGATTTGATGTCAAGTTTCTGATTCTGATTAATGTGCTTCTGGTTCCTCTGGCAGAACCACGCTGAAGTAGGCAAGAATCTGGCCATTTTAAAAAGGTTTGTGACTTCTGGTCAGGTCTAGTAGTTCTGAGAGACCAAGCAAGGCCTCACCACATGCTTAGAGAACTTGCATTTATGTTAAGGCATCCATGCTTCATGCACACGTGGAGGTCTCTGTACATACGCAGTACGAAGCATCTGCACTGCTAAAACCTCCAAAGCATTTGGATTTGCCACTGGAACAGAATGAGAATGGGTTTGGTGATAGTACAACTAAGCTCATTCCTCAAACATTTGAAGTGCCCCATCACAAAGCTGCCCAGTATGATCACTGCTTAAGAATGGGCACCTGAATTGTGCATAACGAAGTTACTCGTTCATTGCTTCCAAGTAATTTCCTCACTGCAACAAAAGGATTCTCTTCCACCTTTTACTAAATGATGCAAATTTGAGTTGAGCAAGAAACTGTAATTACTCTGTGAAGTTATCTGTTATTCCTGCAATGCCTATTGAATAGTCCTATAAAACACACCTTGAGAACTCCTTATACAGCTTCTCAGTAGCTCTAAAGAATGGAACAGGCTTCCTCAACCTCGGCCTCCAGGTGTTTTTGGCCTACAACTCCCATGATCCTTAGCTAGGAGGACCAGTGCTCAGGGGTGATGGGAATTGTAGTCTCAAAACATCTGGAGGGCAGAGGTTGAGGAAGCCTGGAATAGAAGGTGAACATTTTTACAACTGAAGTGGGACTTTCCACCAGAGACGCTATATTAGCAGATATAAGGACTAAAATCCATTCCAAACCCTCTTAAACCCTCTGGATAGTGGAAGCAAACCACATACACACAGCATACTTTGTTATACATCCAATCAGGAATCAAAAGTAGCATAAGTACAGGGCATGGATAGTTCAGTCGGTAGAGAATGAGACTCATGGCCTTGTTTGTATTGAAGCTTGAGAAAGCAATGGAACACAGGTTTTAAGAAAAGGCATTTATTATTATTATTATAATCATTATTATTAGCAGACCTGCTATAGTTCCTTAAGAACAATATATGCTATCTTTATTTGAAAGGAGCAATCTGCTTTCAAATACAAGAATGGCATGACAAGGGACTGTCGGCAATGCGAGACAGCAGGCGCATCACACTTCCACAGTGCAGGTTGAAGCAGCACAAGTGACACTTTAGAACAGCTGTGGCTGAATATTGCCAGTAAAAGAGCTTGTATCCTGACAAGATTTAACAAGAACAGAACAGCTAATGTTCATGCTTTAAGGAATTAGGCTCTTAGCTCTTTTCAGGTTTAAACCTTTACTCTGGTTAGATTTTGTTGTTGTTAAACAAAAAAACAAAAAAGGAATGCTTTTCAACCAAGCATTAAAAGGTTTTGTTTTCAAATCCCTCCTCTTCTCTCCAGTCATAACAGTTTTATTATCACAATCCACATATGAAGGCATCTTTGCCCTCTAGTGGTGCTTTCCATCCTTAAAACTGTTTTGTACAAAAGGAACACTTGACATACTAATACATAATTTGACATCTTATAGTTCATAGACTTAAATACCATAAACAGGGAAGGGGAAATGGTTTCTAGAACTGAGAATGCAGAAAAAACAAACTGGCTCCATAGTAAATATCTGGGTTGGGGGATTTTCCTCTTTTTTTTGGTCTGAATGTTGGGGGGTTTCCACCCCATTTCCAAACAATGTGGTCTTTAAAGTTTTGGGGATACTACAGTAGCAGTACAAATGACATTGCTTTTTAAATAGTAACCCCAGAGATAAATGCAAGGGAGGAAGGGGAAAGCAAATGATTTTCCCTTTCGGTTGTTAGTGGCGATCTTCAGAAGAGACAGAGAGACCTAGAGCAAACCAACGGGAAGACCAAGTATAAGCAGTTGTTCGGGTGGTTAAGTCAGTGTCCAGCACTACTTTATTCTAGCTTACACAAGAGGAAAGGTCAAAGGGTCTCTATGTTCCGCCTGGTTTCAATGTCACAAAATAAAGCTACTGTCCTTGTTTCTTTGAAAGGTACCTGAAGAAAAAGCCAAAAATAAAACATTTATAACAGGATTCAACATACACAGGGCGTGCATTTAAAACATATGGAATTACTGGTACAATAGATTCTCGATGTTCTGAAAGCATTCAAAGTACTATCCTAGTTTACTTCTTCATCTTTCAGCACCTCCTCTACTGAAATAGTTGTAGTCTTGAGGGGTAGCAGGAGTAAATAAATCAATTATAAAAAGAGTTAGGCAATATGCACTGCTCATATGCCCTAGAATTTTAAGAGAGCATTTTTCAGCAGTAGCACATATTAATATTCTAAAATATCAGCACAAATCTTTCATTCGTTGTTAAGATCCAACCAGTAAAACAAACCTTTGGGCATTAAAAAATTCTCTCAAAAGATCTGGACTGAGCTGTCTAAATAGCATTCTGAAATTTACAGCTGGTGGGGGAAAGAAGTACGCACTCAAAAAGAGGGCAAATTATTAAAGTGTCTAAATCATGTCCAAATTGCTCAGATTCATGCCTTGAGCATGTGTTATCAGGAGTTATCAGTTACTTTAGCAACTGTGGCATAAGAAAGTACGTTGTAAGATGAATGTGGATGTTCACACTCACGACTTTGAGTGAAGTGCTGGGCATTTTCTAACCACAGCCTGATTAAAATGTGCTAGAACCATCAAGTCCAGATAATATTGCTTTGCAGAGCAGGTGTGAGTCACACATCTACAGCCGATTACCCCAGATGCACTTTTAATGTCTACTGACCAATAGCAACTTCTTGCCTCTAATTTCTGAGCTTCCAACAAATAAATGTCGAAGTAAATATAAAATTTATCAGGAGGTGATCTCAATAGTGAACACAGCACACAGATCTGGACTGAACACCAGTCAGTTTGCAGGACTCAACAGATCAACCCCTTGCCGATAGCACAGATGCCTTCCAAACTACAGCCTAGTGCTGGTTTCATAGTCCTGAATAGTTCGTCTATTCACAAAGCCTTCTCCAACCTGGGATTTTATACTACACCTCCCATCACTCCTGTCTATTGGCCATGCTGGCTGGGTTTGATGGGAGTTGGAGCCTTAACATCACCTGCAGGGATGGAGAAGGCTGCATTACTTTATGTCAGGCACACCTGCTCTAAAGTAAAAATGTTGCACACTCCACCTACAAAGAGTCTTTAAAAAGTAGAGCTGGTTCACAATTCAACCCTCCTGTATACATAATAATGTGGCCCGCCTGACTAAACCACTTCTGGCGCAACAAAACACTGTGACAGAAGCCAGAGCACACAGAAAGGCAGTTTACCTTAACTGTCCAGGGGTCCTTTACCTTAACCTTTTACCTATACATAAGAATACAGAGATCTAACCGAGATCCCTAAGGTCAAATCCTTCACACCAAAATGGGAAAAGGAACAGAAACTTTGGTGGTCCAAAGTTTAGAAGCATTCTGACTTAAGGAGGAGCTATGGTCCAGTTCTCAAGGAAAATGCCTTAATGTTAGCTCCTTATGCAAGTGAAAATGCTTGGTATGCATTTTCATTGGAGTCAACTGCAGTTAAATCTCAAGTACAGAGCCAAGACTGCCAAGCCACGTACAATGCATGCAGCTAGCAGAATTTTGAGACGCACAGACTTCTCTAGCCTGAGTCAGCAAGTAGATTCCACCAAGGTCATTGGGACTATTTGTTTTATATGTAACTAGGGAAACCCTGGTCGCAGACATACTGGCTACTGTGTTTTTATGGTGATCCCACCCTGCTATGGTATTGTCTTTGTCACTTTCCTAAACATTTGCATATGAAAAAGTTGTACACAAAATTGCTAACAAATTGAACCAACACTAATTCAGGCACCTCTGCTAATGGACCTGCTATCAGTTCAGATTGGGCCAGCAGGAAGCGAAATTTGATATTGTTGAAGCACAATGCTGAACAAAAACACCATTTCATCCTTACCTTTCCCAGTGCTTGTGGTTCAACTCCAAAAAGTCGTCTAATTTTGCTATTTCCTTGAGATACTGAGTAAGTTTTAGAAGCTCTTTATCCTTATCTCTGTTTAAATGTGCTTTCATGAAGGGTTTTATCTGTTGAGAAAGAAACCAGGTGTAAATGATACATATCTTAAAGAGAAAAATAGAGAACATACCCAAACTTAACATGCTAGCATTTGTTGAGCAGATAATATTGCAAGAACATGACCCTTTGGCTCAGTTCTCTGGTTCCATTCTACTTGCCAGGCAGGCTCCATCCCTCCCTTCTTGCAGAGACCTGCAATGTACTCTAAAAGCCCAAAGTATTATTTGCAAATGGACGTTGTCCTTCCCCCATGTCCTATTCATATCCACGCAGTAGCTCAAACAATCAGCCTTTCAGAGTATTTGCAAATAATGTTTTTATGAACTACTGAGTTGCTTCTAGCAACTTACATCGCAGCATAGCAGCTGCTGAACTCAAGGGCAACATTCTCCTTGTTGCAGGATACTTACTGCTAAAAACAAACTAGCAAAAGCTCTTTTTACTTCAAAGAGCCAATCAGGCCTCCATGTGAACATGAACTCACAACACAGGCAAGCTGTATTTTGAGAATTTACATTATGGCTTCTATATATTATACAAGGAGGTTATTATATGGGGAAACATGACGATGACTATTCACGTACAATTATTCATACAATGTCACTTAAATGCAAAGCCACTCTAAAAGTAAAACATGTAATTTTCCTACTGCAGTGTCGCCATAGGCAGATGCATCAGTATGTCCACACATTTAAAAAGTCAGAGGGTGGTGAGAAGTGGTCTCACTTCACAACTGCAGATCTTGCTTCTTTCCCCCCTCCCACCTCCTAATCCACTGCTGCCAGCACCTCCAGTCCTCCAGCATCGACCTCTACATGACATTCTACTCCTCTCCCTGCCATCATCATAAGAACTGTGCTGTGTTTCTACAAGGCAGGGCTGGCTTCTCTTGATCTCGTTTGCCAGGAAGGAAGGCAGTCTCCCAAATGCAGCCCTCTCTTCTAAGGCCTGTATACAAAGAATGGTGTTTCTTCCAGTCTTAAGAACTACAGTCTCCCATTGCGGAAAGAAAATACGCACCATGCATTCATCCACTAAAAAACCCACTCAGCACTGTCAACTGCTGTTTCCCAATGGAGAGTACCCTGTCAAGTACAGTGGTGCCTCACAAGACGAAATTAATCCGTTCCGCGAGTCTCTTCGTCTTGCGGTTTTTTCGTCTTGTGAAGCACGGCTGTTAGCGGCTTAGCGGCTATTAGCGGCTTAGCGGCTATTAACGGCTTAGCGGCTTTAAGAAAAAGGAAACAAACTCACAAGAACTCGCAAGACGTTTCGTCTTGCGAAGCAAGCCCATAGGGAAATTCATCTTGCGGAACGACTCAAAAACCGGAAAACCCTTTCGTCTAGCGAGTTTTTCGTCTTGCAAGGCATTCGTCTTGCGGGGCACCACTGTACCCTGATTGGAAGTTTGACTGTGACTAATCACTAATACGACAGTTAGTGAAATTTACACAGCAAACTTTAAAGCTACAAAGGCAACAGGTATGCCTTTTACCCAGTAACAGATCACACACTTTGGGTGCAGAAGATCTAAGATCTAATCCCAGGCATCCTCCATTAAGATTACTATCTATCTAGTTATCTATTTACAGAGTACAAGAACCTGGCCCTCTGCCCTGAGGAGCTTACAACTGAAAATGTGACACAAGGGAAACAGAAGAAGAGGACAGGGGAGGAATATGTGATTGTCTCAGTTCTACATACTTCAGCTTAGTTACATGCTAAGACCCCCAACCTGAAATCTTAGAAATTATAGGGGTATCAGAAAGTGTGATACACTCATAACTTATTTTCACCACAGATAGCCTCTAAGCAGTTTGCAGATCAATAAAAAATGCACCTGTCATATAATAAGAAGCTTAAAATAACAACCACAGCTTTAAAAAAAAGTAAAATAGCACTCACATGGCAATCAAAAGCATGCTGGGATAGAAAGGTCATCAAGTGCCTGAAATTCAATAGGGAGAGGAGGACTGCTAGATTATCTCATCTGGGAGGGAGTTCCACAGTTGGAACTACACTACTGGGTGCATAGCTGCTGGTCGATATGAGGCATGCATCTGCATCATGGGGATCACCAACAGATACTCCCATGAAAATCTCAGGGATCAGGTAGAGATATAAGGAAACAGTCAGTCCTTAAGGTATCCTGAACCAAAATTGTTAAGGGCCATGTAAATTAATACAATATGCTGAACTAGCAGCAAAAATCCTAACCGTGTCTACTCAGAAGTCTTACTGAATTCAATGGTGCTTACTCCAAGGTAAGAGAGGTAAGAGAGGCCAAAACTGCAGCATAACCTCTATTATCTACTCTTGAGTGGCAGTGGCTGCCAAAAGCCAGGGCAGCACTCTTCCACAGCACTACCACCTAAGACCCTTTTGACTGGAGATGGCAGGGACTGAATTGGGTCATTCCATAAGCAAAGCATGCGCTCTGCCAGACAGCACATTGTTTCAGGCTTCAGTTTATCCCAGAACTCTGTCCAAAAGGAAATAAAGAGCACTCTGTGCATACTTAATTGCTAGGTACACAAAAACTAAGCTGGAGAGACAATTGCTGTTATCTTTGTCACCGTAGTCTACAGTGGGGACCACGTCCTTCTGAGAGGCTTCTAAAGCTCATTCCAAGCACCACTTGTCACATTTATCAAAGGCCTGCGGACAATAAGTTAATCCCATGTGGAATGGCTGATTAAATTCTGTTGCCTCTGGTAGAACATCTGATCTCGATTCCTTTTACAGCAGCATTTCTCATAAACGGTCACCTCCAATTTGTCTTGCTGTCAATAAAAGTCTGAGCTGCAGCACACCGGCTCTCTTTTCCCAGGGGGAGGCAATGATACCGCTCTGTCAGCGGTGCACTCCATCAAGCCACCATCTAGTTGAACAGCACTTTTAAAGCAATTTCCACTCATCTGTCACCATTTCTCAAGAAGCAGAGAGACTTTACAAAGGGCAACGCTTGTACCACAAGAGCCAGATGTCTTTTCCAGGACAAACATTTTCCAAAAACACTGAGATGTTTGGGAGGCAGGGGCGGAAAAAGAAGAGACACTGACATGTAACTTTGTTGACAACCATTTCCGAATGGGTACATCCTGTCCCTTCAGTTCATTCAGGCCACATTTCTCTCGTGGTCTTTAATACTTCTGACAGGTCCCTACAGAGGCCTCTGCCACTGGTGCATTACAGCAAAAGCAACAATATTCTGCTGCCACCTTGTATATGCCCACTGATGTCATAAAAAGGGAAAATAGTTACCACTGGCAACACAATGGTATAAATAGGAAGGCCACTGCAGATTAGCAGTTAAGATGCTATGGAGCAAGTTCTATTGGTCTAAATACCTACGTCTTGCTATGGAGCAAGTTCTATTGGTCTAAATACCTACGTCTGAGTAGGCATACACAGGGCTCCTCAGTAAGAGACTGAGATGCGAAGCTCCTTATTTAACTCTTGCCTGTCATCAACTGACTGGCCTTAGACAAGTGGTTATGTAAGCACATGTTTGCAATATGGGGATGACAGTACTACCTGGCAGGAATCAGCTACTGAGATAATGTGAAATGCTTTGGACACACCCTAAGCACCTTATAGTATGAATGCTAAACACTATGTCTTCAAATTTCCATTATTTTACAGTATACCTTTAGTCTAGGTACTAAAGCACAAATTGCCTACATTTTTGCAGACAACTTATTTCTAGCACTCTTAAATACCCCATCAAAACTTTGATAAGCAACTGCCAGATCACTACAAAACATCTTGTCTTCACGTGCACTGGGGCATGACGAGGGGTGGGGTGGGGAAGCTTCCAAAGACCATTGTAGCTATTATGAGTGCTTTATCATGGGAACGATGCGGTGCAGTGGCCAGAGTGGCAGGGCTGGATAAGAGAAATTCAAACACTAACTTGGCTTTTAACTTTATCTAGTATCTTTGGAAAGTCAGGCTCTCTCAGTTTGAGCTGCCTCACAGGCTGATTGTGAAGCCAGAAACATTGGCTCTCAGCTCCTTGCAGGATGATCTAAGATCACAAATATATGATAATCCCAAACGGTGAGTGGCACAACTTCCGAGGTCAAAGCAATTCCAAATAATGGCTGAAATCCAAAAGCTGAAATGTGTGCATGGAGCTGTGAAGAAAGGGAAGGTCTGCACAAACATTAGAAAATATTCATTCGAAGAGTAATTCTTTCCATACAACCATGTGGGAAGTGCTGCAATCAAGATGGGGCGCAGTGAGGAATACAGATACTGGCATGTTGGTACAACAGTGACCTGCCACCCAACCAGCAGTAGCGCAAACAGGATCAAAGACCCATTCCATTGGCACCATTTCCCAAATTTCAACCCACTTGAGTTTTCCTCCTCTAGGCTGTTGGCATCCTTCAGTCTCGAGAGAGAATGGACCCACTCTCAGTCTCATCCGCTCAATCGGCCACAGCCTGTCTTCATATGCAGGGGAAGTCCCTAACTCACTGAGGGTTTGAGACCCATTGGCTACCTCACCTGGTTTAGCCAGCCAGTCAAGACATTAGCTGGGCTGTGGGCACTGTCACACACGGACAACTTCAAGGAGCCACAGGTGAGAGCTGAGTGCGGAGTGAGGAGCGAAGGTGGATAAACAACCCCAGAAGGAGCATGACCTCTCCCCTACCAGACGTATTCCCCCTCCCTAACACCCCATACTAGGTAAGCTGGCATTTATAAAAGAACGCTAAACATTACCTTTAGTCCGTTTTGTGGGTTCATAAGAAAATTTCGTCCAATGTCATCAAACATAATAGTATTTTTCTTGCTGTAAAACTCTGAAAATTTGCCCCATATGACACCCAAGGGTTTCACCTGTAGATGTAAAGTTGTAAGAAAACCTCAAGTGAAACAGCATTTCAACAACAGAATTTACCATTAGTATTCTGCTTTTACGGTATAAAGATTATTTGCAGAAATGTGCTCCTGAAGGATGGGGAACACCACAGAACAGATTTGGGAGAAGGTGTGGGAGCACCCAGGAAGAAGGGAGAAAGTCCTGTAGCATTGGGGGAAGCTCTTGAGTTAACAGGAGAACTTCACTGGATACAACCCATTCTGGTGCAGAAAGTCCTTGTTTCTCCAGCCAGCACAGCAAGCAAGCCAAGCTATATTTCTTTTATATGTATGGCTTGGCACGCTTACTTCTTAATTTTGTGTATGAACCACTTCCTATGGAGTGACTCAAAGCAATTTCACAATTCAATAAACCCATATAACAATTGCATATATAAAAACTATTTCAAATCGAGTGCAGATACCAATTGGGATAAAAATATCTGGAACGTTTGTTGAAAGAGGAGTATTCAACAGGTGGCAAAAAGCCAGCCAGGTCTCTTAGAACTGTTGCTCTTAGTGTGATGAACCTATTCTATTTTAACATACAGTCGTACCTTGGTTTTCGAACAGCTTAGTTCTCGAACGTTTTGGCTCCCGAATGCTGCAAACCTGGAAATGACTGTTCTAGTTTGCAAACTATTTTTGGAAGCTGAATGTCCGACGGGGCTCCTGCAGCTAATCAGAAGCCGAGCTTTGGTTTCTGAATGTTTGACTTCCAAGGTACGACTGTACTGAAATCTGAATTGCATACACTGATCTTTAGAACAGGGTGCTGATGGGTGGGTGCTCCTGCCTTGAAAAAAGAGGTCGGTGAGAGGACACTTACATCAATTAATCCTCGTCTTGGTGTGTGCACAGTTATCATGGCCGCACTATCCAGCATGAAGGTTATCTTGTAGTTTGCATTGGTGCTCACTCCCAGCTCCTGCAATGAAAAACAATACCTAAGGACATTTTGCACACAGGTTCATCGCCTGCTGTAGTTTACCAATCTCTTATAATTTGCCTCTCCTTCTGCATGTCACCAGTAGGAGCATTGCACAAGAGGAGGGAGGCATTCATGGGAACTTAGGGCCAAAGCCACAGTATTAATCATGCCAATTTTAGCACTTGTAACAGAGTTCCATGCTATGACTAAAATACTATGAATCATTTTGTGAAGCAGATCACACAAAGAACATTCTAAAACACCAGAAAATCAAAACACACACAAGCTTACACATCGGGCTTACTTTCATTTTAGCTTCAATCCACTTCATATTGGTAGCAGCTGAAAGGGAATAAACAGAGTATTTTCAAGTGAAGTATTTTCAAGGCATCTTTTAATACCGTGTCATCCTATTCTGGGTATTAGCTAATTATTCAGGAATGCAGGCTCCAAATTAGTTTTCAATGCAGCAAGTCCCTCTCATCTGAACTGTTTTTCAGTTTCACCTGCATTCGCATATTCGTGGCAAGCAGCTCATCCAACAATTGCATGAATCTGCCCAGGGAGTCTCTAATCCCAATGCTACCACCATGTCACTGTAACAGTGTGTATTCCTATTTATCTGAGCTCTGCTTATCTTAGGTATCTGGATACCTTGGGGCTTATTTTAAGTGTGGACTACTGTAAAGATGCCGAAACAAAAAGCACACAATGTTTAATATATCAACAAGAAAAAGCTTTTAAAATACAATGGGGGTGCAATACAGCATTACTTTGCTCAACCACTCAATTTGATACAAGGAGAAGAGGGGAGCATTAGATCTACTTCTGCACAACAAAAACACAAACAAATGGGAAGTGTCAAATAAAGTGGTTCAACAGCTGGCATTAAGTGTGTTTTCCTTCTCATGTCCTAGATCCCAGGGACCATGCAACGAGTTCTGAACACTCAAGGGAGACTTTGATTTGAACTTCTCCTACAGTAGCACACACAGTCCCAATGCAGCATGACAAACTTCATTTAAAGCAAGGCAGTTTCACAATCACTCTACTGGGCATCCCCAAGGCTTTGGACTACCCAAGTAGGTCTTTGGATCCTAGCCCATGTTTACGACCAACAGGGATTCATAACCCATTTTCTGAATCAGAGTACTTGCCCCAGAGAGTATTTTATCAAGTTGTTCAGGAGGGTATTTTAAATCAAGTATTGATTTTCGTTCACACAGGGGTTCTGTGCTGACTGTCCCGCAAGGGCTAAAGCCTCCATTAAACTACCTCTCATGATTGCTGGCTTGAGAGATGTAATACAACAGAAAGGTTCAGCATCAAGCACTGCGTAAAAGATGCAGATCAAGTCCACAACATCTCCAGCAGAGATCCCTACGTCACAAATGGCAATGCATCTCTAGGCATAATGAAAACACTTTCAATTTGTGAAGTAAATAACTTACACCAAATTACAATATCATAGTCTTCGTATGCAGATGTCAGGAATTCATGCAGATACGGCCTCATCAGCTCAAGCCCAGTCTCTGCACATGATCTATGGTCTAGAAGAAAGTCAGCCAGTTCATATTAGTCATTTAAAACCTTATTTGAATGCCAGCATCTTTTCTCCTTACCTGTGCTCTGGCATACACCTACACTCCATTCAAGGGACCATGTGCATAGCACCCAGGACTGCAGTGGAACCCAAATGAACCTACCTATACCCAGAGAGCAACTCTCTGGTCTACTGCCGAGAACCATGAGATCAACAGGTACCAGGCCCAGGGAATAATGTCTTGAAAATAAAGTACATTACTTACCAAACAGGGTATAATCAACATCCAGGACCAACAATTTCTTCCCTTCTCGCGGAGGGTTCAATATTTCCACTTTATACTCCTTAACTCTGCGGGAGATTTTCAGCAGATTCTCTTCCCTAAAAACAAACAATATAAATGACATGCAGCTGTTGCATATTTATAAGCCAGCCAATTATTTCTCTATTCAACAACAAACTCACCTATTCTCGACTTCAACCACTTCCTCTTCAATGTCAAAATCATTGACTACATCTTCATTATCAGGCGGTGGCCCAAGGACATCTTCCTACAACAAAAGTAAAACACCGAAAACTTATTTTATTACAATCGTACTTTGGAAGTCGAACAGAATCCATTCTGGAAGTCCGTTCGACTTCCAAAATGTTCAAAAACCAAATTGCGGCTACTGATTGGCCGCAGGAAGATCCTGCAGCCAATCAGAAGCTGCAGAAGCCCCGTCAGATGTTCAGGTTCCAAAAGAATGTTCGCAAACCAGAATAATCACTTCCAGGTTTGCGGCGTTCAGGAGTCAAAATGTTTGAGTTCCAGGGCGTTTGGGATCCAAGGTACGACTGTATCTGAAAGTTCTTGTACAGAAAAACAAAATGAGATATACTTCTGCTTCCATCCCCTGCCCTTTAAAAGTACTTTTGCTTTTTGCCAAGGCATTGTCTAAACAAAGAGCAACATTCAGAATTAAACATCACACACTGCTTAAAGCACCAGTTTGGATACTTTTTACAGAGGATACATAAAGAGAATAAAGTGGCTGATCAAGGTGACAGCCCACAAAATTGGAAAATATAAACATGAGGAATCAGCGATGAAGCAAATTAAGAAAATGTGAACAACCTATACATTCTTGGCTGCTTTGGAAGAATGCAGTTATTTTGGTGGCAAGAGGGTAGAAAATCAATTGGTTAAAGGAATTTAAGAAGGTAAGAAGAGCCTGCTGGATCAGACCAATGGCCCATATAGTCCAACATCCTGCTCTTGGCAGCCAACCAGATGCTGTGGGAAACCTGCAATCCGGATTTGAGCACATGAGCACTTTCCCCTCCTGGAACACCTTCAGTTCACACCACATATAGACCAACCTCTGGCTTGAACAACTTTTTGTCAGTTAACATTTAATCAGAAAATTAATTACACTGCTTGTTCTCATACATACACATGAACCCTACATTATTTCTAGGCAATTACATGTCTTTATTATAATCATTTTTTCTGTAATTATTAGTTTTTATGTGTTTTAAATAGAAAAAAGTATTTTACCAAGCTTTCCTCACGAGTCCCCATCATCATGATTTTAGTATTTGGTTTCAATTTTAGTGATCCAAGCTTAACATCATTGTCTGCTGGCTTGCCTGCAATATAAACAGATTACAGCTTCCTCAGCAAAAATGAGCGATTTCTTCTGCAGCTGTTCCTTTCTCCTTTCACCTGATTTGTATTTTAAAACACTAACTTATGATCTTAGGCTACGATCCTATGCACACTCTCCTGTGAGTTAATTCCACTGAGATCAATGAGTGTTACTTCTGAGTAGACTTGTATAATATTATGATATTGGCAACCTAGAGTAAGATTTTCTCTCCTGCTCCCTGATGTAACTTATTCTCCTTCCCCTCCCCAAATGTGTTCTAGGGGTTCCTGCAACCCACTGGAACAGATTTAGCATGGGCACATGTAGAGAGAAGGAGAGCAAGTCCCACTGAGCAAACAGAAGTCCTTCTGCTAGCAGGACGACTTTGCTGGTTACAATCCAGAGTTCTTTCTTTCTTTCTGCTTCCCACCCCCCTCCTGGAAGTGCAGGGTCAACAACAAAAAGTGAACCCCTAGCCTATTTTTTGAAGGTCACCTAATACTTGCTGATATTCATAAAAAACATTAGAAGAGTGTGCTGAATCCTAGTCTCACAGTGGCCAACCTGATGCCTGCAAGAAATTCTTGCAAGAAATTCTGGACTGGGGGAAACCTTGGCACCTGCACACATCGGATCATTTAACACAGATTAGTTTTGCATATTCTGATTCTCAATTCTTGCTTTGTAAGTGTGTGTAAGCACATGAGTGGGTCATTCTAGAAAAAGAGAGAGAGAGAAGGAAATTAAGGACAATGGAAGCCTTAAGTTGACCCACTCCAAGTGTAGGAGTCAGTCTTCTCTCCACCATGACAATTTTAACACATGGACCAGGCAAGAAGAAAGTGTGGATCTGGGACAAAAGGCAACAGATATGCCTTAGCAGCTGGCCAATTTGACAACCACATCTGTTTCTGCAACCCTACTAAACAGTGAAAGAAAGGTGGAGCATGAAATAAATATTACCTTTTACTTTAAGTCCAAGAAGCTTTTGACGCTCTGGGAGCACTCCAGTAAGTCCTTTGAGGGACTGCTTGAGATCCAGCACTGTGTCTTCTTCTGACAAGGTGGTTATCAAAAATTCCTGCCCACCCCATTTTATAATAAGAGAGACAGCCATATTTGTAACATATGTTCAAAATATACCTATAGGGAAGGAAGAAATGATTGTCAAAAGAATTCCAACATTTTAACTTCTTTTCACTTCTACTTGGAAAACCAGACAAATACTGCTGCTACATTTTGAACAAATTAGTGGTCCACATCTGTGGCATTTTTGTATAAATTTGGAAGAGATTGTATAAATTGGAAGATATGTCAAGAGACTTCAGCAAAGGGAAAAGCTGCATAAGTCAGTAATATATTACATTACTAGACACCAGTTCCCAAGGGATACCTGCTCATGTCCACACCAGCCACCGGACTGGATAATCTGCAAGCTTCAAAAACCGTGTGTGCTGCCTTGTTTCAGAACACTAGAATTACCAAACTCTTAATGGGGGGGGGGTGTCTCCTGCATATTTAAGAGGTGCGGAGACCAGAACTCTGCCAACTGCAGCCTTCCACTTCAGTAAGGAGCCACAGCTCAGAAACAGAAGCACAGTGCCTTGAACGCTTCAATCCCTGGCCTCTCGAGGCAGGGCTGGGAAAGCCTCTTGCCTGAAACTCCGCAGCACTGCTGCAAGCCGGCCGTGGGCGACACTGGCCTAGGATCCTCCAGCGGCATGACTAGGTGTTACTTGCTTTTCTGCACGTGGACTGGAGAAAGGAGCCGGGCCAGGCGGCGGGCTTCCCTTCGAGGAAGCTCATCGCCCCTTTCTGCGTAAAACGGCAAGCGCTGCGCAATTCATATAGCTTAAGGGACGCAGACAGGCTCCTGCTGCACCGAGGGCTGCGTCCTAAACGCTCCCAGCAGGTGTGCACGGGAGGGAGGTCTGGAGCGTTGCATTAGGTCCCCTCCACCATCGCCGCCCCCTCTGCAGGGTCCGGGCCTCGCGCTTCCACTAGCAGACCCTTGGAGGTACTGGGGGGGGCGGTTGTAGGGCGCTTCTTGCTAGCCATGTTTACCCCCCGAGTGCCAGCCACGGCCTTTGGGGTGCCCGAGAGGGGCGGGGCAGGGGGAGAGGGCGCCCCGCTCTGGAAGACTTGCGGGCTGCGCCCATAGGGGCTCCCGCAGCCCCGCCGAGCGCCGGCCGGACCATAAGGAAGAAAGAGGAGCAGCCGCCCCGCCTCACCCCCAAGAGAGCGTCCCAGGAACCAGCCGCGCCGGAAGCAGAACCCGGCGACCGGAGCTCGCGCGCCGCGCGAACCGGAAGCACTTCGCGCTCTCGGAACCTGGACGTGGCGAGGGGGCCAGATGGCAACACAGAGATATAGCGAGGGGAAAAAAGTAGAGCGGACAGCCCGGGTTTCGCGTGTGGCTCCCCCCCACACACACACTCTACCCACACAGACGGGATTTCCGAGTTCCCCTTGCAGGAGTGAGAGCCTTCGGAGCGTGTCATGGCGGCTCAGGGAATAGGGCTGCTTGGGGAGATCAAAGAGAACGAGGGGCTCCCGACGGCCCCGCAGTGTAGGTTGCGACGGTGCCGTGGCAGCACCAGGGCTTGCAGGGTCGCTCCCTATTGCCTCCAGCAGATCCTGCTCGTTTCACCCTCCTGCGTCTTAGTCCCAGACGGGGTGGACCCAAATTATAGCCTACATACACACAAGCAGACGGACACCCTATAGAGAACCAAGGTCCCGATAGCTACAGGTTTCCGTGTGATCTTGAGCCCCTTTAGAAGTTTCTATATCAGCTTTCACCAGCGATTTATTAATACCCAAGCAGGTCATATGCAGGTTTTGCCAGAAACTTCGCTAGGATGGCTGCCTTCGTGTGATTATGCCCTTACTTACAAGTAACTTTCCATATGCTAACCCTGCAATGTAGTCCAGAGTTAGTAACCTGGGACGTGGGCCAGGTAGAATGGTATGGATTTCTGTCCAAAAATCGCTCATGCAAAACACCCAGTCTGCTTAAATTTCCCTCACAGATGCCCTGCCGGTCCCAATCCATAAAATAGGATAAAGAGAGCAGGATCTTGCCTTTGCTACTACTGTTCGTTTCAGGGTGGATGCTGTTACTCAACCAAGACGTATTAAATCTATGATATCTCCATTTCTAGGGGCAGTCCTCATTGGTAGTTCGGGGATGAAAAGGGCTTCATTCAGAAGTTAGGTCTGAAGCCTATTGTCTGTGGAACACAATACAGGTCTGAGAGAAGAGAAGCACAATCACTACTTTCCTCCAGGTGGTGTAGGGCTTTGAAGTTCAACACCAGCCGTATGAATGATGCCTGGAAACTATTTGAAGCTATTTGTGGAATAGATCGAAGGTTAGCCAATGGTATGCAGTGATGGGAGTTGTTGTCCGACAACATCTGGAAGCCAGTGTGGTTGCTTCATTCTAGACCAGAACATTCCTGGACAGCAGCGATAGTTTACACATATTGCTCTAAGTTAGAGGTATGGCATGAATGATGGAGGAGGCAGGGTTCTTTTTACTCCTGTAAGGACATATCCGAGGAGGGACAAGGGGGCCATTTGGCCTGGACCCAAAGCTCAAAGGGGGCCTCAAATTTAGACCCTTGTGAATTTTTTGACACTTGATAAGTTTCGCAATTTGTTTGTATATACATAGGACCAAAATGCAATACACTGTCAGCTTAGAGCTGCAAATTCAAGCAGCAAGGTATGTAATTTGGGGAAAGGACACTGGCATTTTTGGTTAACTGATACAGATTTTATCATATTAATGAGTTTTAGATTTTCATATTCATCAAAATAAAGTTTTGATAGCACAATATTAGTCCACGGTGAATGTATCCTCAAAAGCATGAATTAGCCCAGGCCTCTCTGGACCTCTGAGAGGGCCTGCCTATTGGACAGAGGTGACTATCCAGAAGCTGTTGGATTCCATCAGCCCTAGTCAAAAAGGCTGATGAGAGTTGCAATTTAACAACATTTGGAGAGCCATGGGTTCCTCATCTATGTAGTAGATGAGCAAGCAGCTGGTATGCCAGAACTAGCTGGAAAAACATCCCTTGCCACAACTGCCACTTGAGAAATCAGCAATATTGTGTTCAGGAGCACTCGCTCTTCATAGGGAGCAGTACCTGCTCAACAGATTGTCCATCTACTCCCAAATCAACAGGTTCACCATCTCTTTATTAGCTGGATTGAGTTTTAGTGGACAGCTAAAGCCAGTAATGTTAGAAATTCAAAACTGATAGCCCTTGGTACAATTTGACTTATGCACCATTGTATAAGTGTAGCAACTGAGTAGGTATGACATGGAGTTGGCACCTGGTTTTATTCCATGAGTGCAGTTTTTAGAGTTGCCTACTGTAATGTAATACAATGCTGGAATCTACAATATACAGGGGTGCCTCGGGTTAAATACTTAATTCGTTCTGGAGGTCCGTTCTTAACCTGAAACTGTTCTTAACCTGAAGCACCACTTTAGCTAATGGGGCCTCCTGCTGCTGCCGCACCACCGGAGCATGATTTCTGTTCTCATCCTGAAGCAAAGTTCTTAACCCAAGGTACTATTTCTGGGTTAGCGGAGTCTGTAACCTGAAGCGTATGTAACCCGAGGTACCACTGTATATCTCTTGCAGGCAAGCTTATTGAGTATTTGGATGTGATTTCATAAAGCTTGTGGGGAGGTAAGATAAAAGGCTCTTTATTGAGCATTCATTCTGAGTTGTTTGCAATGGGGTCACAAAAAGTTGTCCTGATCTGTATCCTACCGTTCCAGTACATTTTGCCATCACAAAAGTGTCAAATCAACTTGAATTTGCTGGTATGTGACTGAGTATCACCTGAAAACAGTGACAGCCTGGCCTAGTTTTGACACAATACCCATTAAAATCAATTTCTATCCCTTTCGCTTACTTTTTGACAGTGGATTGGATCAGGTTCCAAGTTAGGCATGAACTGTTTTATTCATGGTGAAGGTATAGGCTAATTTGAGTATGTGTCATGGCATATTAGGGTCCCTTTCGTGTATCTCATGATCAGCCTCAAAATTGTATGACTTACAAAAGAAAGCTGTTCTTCCAGTTATGACGGATTAAAGTTTTAGATCACTGTTTAAATTGCTACTGCTTGCCCTCTGCACCTTGGGAGGTGTCCAAATCTGTCTCTCTGCTGACAGAAGGAATTCATCAGTAGAATGGGAAGGGAGGCTATTTTCAGCAATGCCTCTCCTTTTCTGCAGCTTGCCCGCCCCAGCACAGCAGTTGTAGGCAATACAGATGTGTTTAACACTGGTTGTGCTAGTGCTTTGTAAATGTCAGCACTGTATTATCTGTCTGTAAACAAACATCATCGGATACTACCCTTACCAATTCAACACTTTAAATGCAACTGAAAGGTAAAAGGCTATATTTCCCCCTTTCTTTTCTTGGGTAGATGTCATTTTCATCACCACATCTTAAATATGTGTTTCCTTGGTTTTACTTAATACAGGACCACAAGGGACTATCCAGACCTGTATATAATGTGAGCTGTACATGGATTCAGCAGTGTAAGCATGGATGGGAAACTAGTAGCCCTCCAGGTGATGTTGGACTACAACTCCCATCATCCCTGATCATTAGCCATGCTGTCTGGGGACTAATGGGAGCTGAAGTCCTACAATATCCTAAGGGCTGCAAGTTCCCCATGCCTAAGCTAAAAGGTTCACTTTCCTTAGGAATCTTGTGTTGGAAGAGATGAAAAGAAAAGAGAGAATTCTGAGGGAATTTAAGTACATCGTAAACTTCTGCCCTTCCCTTAAGCATGAAAAATGCATGTTTTGTCCATGTACATTTCATATTTTATGTGGCTGGGGGAAACGTGTTTGGCAAGGTAAGGCTGTTGTTTTTGTAAAAACCTGTTGGTGATGAGAGCTGTACACTGACAAATTGCCCCTACACTGTAATGTGTTTATAAAATGTTATATACAATGCATTACTTTGGCATTGTATATGATTACCTCATAACTATGCTAATAATGAAGCTATTCCCCTCCCCTGATTTACTCCAGATTGCAGTGATGGCCATTACCTTTGACAAATTGACAGACAGTTCCAACAGTAGCTGATGTGCTGAATGGAATATCCCTGTCCAGAGGCAGTGTGCTGCCCAGTATCAGAGCTGAATGTAAACAACAGGGACTGGCCGTCCCTCTGCTGGTGAGCTTCCAGAGGCATTTGGCCAGCCACTGATGTAAACAGGATGCTTGACTAGAAGATGATCCTTGAGGAATTTGTGTTCCCAGGATGAGGAAGGGGCAGGGCTTTGCTGAGTTGCTCCAGATCCCAAACTGATGTCATAGCCATCACCAGCCAGCATCAGGCCTGATCCAGACCCTATCCCTGAGCCACCCTGGAGATGGCACAGGGATTGGGCCCAGGGACGCGGACTTATAAAAAATATTGGGGGGGCCCGGGAAAGCTCATGAATAATAAATAAGCTCATGAATATGCAAATAAAGTGGCTCCGGCCCTAAATAGGGCAAGCCACGCCCCCCCCAGCCAGCCGATTGGCTGGCTGGGAGGTGTGGCCAGTCGGGATTCCCCTGTTCTCGCGGGGGCTGAAACCGCCAGGAGGAAGGAAATTCCCCCCGGCAGTGCCTTGGCAGTGGCGGTGGTGCTGCGAAGCAGCGAGGCAGGAGCCCCCACCCCCGGCGCCCGAGATTATTGGGGGGGCTGAGCCCCCCCAAAAATTTTTTTGAGGGGGCTCGAGCCCCCTCAAGCCCCATGGGGTCGGCGCCTATGATTGGGCCTGACCGTCCTCCTTCCAACCCACACATCCACACCCTCCATCACAGGGATGGCTACTGTTGCTCTACTATCCTCTGCAGAACCCCAGCAGCGAGTTTAGATTTAGCTCATGTTTTGTATTAGGGTTGTTTTATTGTGTATTTTAATTATGAATGTTTATTTTTTAATACTTGTGTTATGGGTATTTATAATTCGTATGCCGCTTAGGAGTCCTTTCTGGCATTAAACGATAAATAAGCCAATACCACCAAATGAATAATAATGATTGCCTGTATGTGATTTTTCCTCTGTGAAAAACCTGTTCTAACAATCAAAAGAAAATGCAGCAAATGCAAAAGAAGACACACAAATGCTAGCCTGTACCTGTGATTGAGCAGTTAAAGTGCAGAAATCCCACTGTATATTTTTTTAAAAATACTTTCTGCTAGAGTAGGATTCTGCTTTACAAAAGCAAGTCAGAAAGGAGAAGACTTTTCTAGTCCAGAGAAGTTCAAAGTATTTGCCATGTCTGATTATTCAAACAC